GATGGTTTAACTACCGTTGGATTCCTCTCGTCGAGCTCCTTCTTTTGATGGTGATTTCATTCAGTTTCGAGCGCTGATCTGTTTCTGCAATTTTTTTTTCATTCGAGGACGGTGGTCTTGCCAGAGCTTTATTTTGTGTTCCACCCGTCGAAATTTGACGGGTCACCCACCGTTGGATTCCTCTCGCCGGGGTCTATATTTTGATGGTAATTTCGTTTATTTTTATATTTTCAGATTTATTTCTATATTTTTTTGCATTTGTGGGCGCGCGGAACCGTGGGTGGTTATTAGCGGCTTCTAGGGTTTTGGTAGGAGGCGAGGGGGTGAGGAGTCACTGTCTGTTTGATTTAAAATCTGTAGCATTTCCCAGCAATAACCTCTCTCTCTATCTCTCGATCTCTTAGTGTTTGTTGATTTTTTAGTGTTTTGATGTTTTTCTTCAAATTTTGTTGATTTGATCTAAAGTAATTTCTTTTTGTTTTGATTTTGCAATTGCAGCTTAATGAAGGCCATTTTTCCTTGAAGGTGTCAAATTTTTTTTTTTTTTGAAGTTACATCTGATTTGTTCAACAAACTGTATACATTATTGTACATTACTATACATTACTATAGTAACATGTAGTTACATATGCGTATATTTGTGTATTTTCGATTTGTATTTTATTGGTTCTGATGTGATTTATAATAAAAATATTGAAATTTGTAAATTTTTGTTGGGGTTTTATGAATTTATTTTGTATAAGTCAGTATTCGTGTGTGTATACAATTGATCGACTAAAAACATGGGGAAAAAAATGAACATAAGAATTACTATAGGTACTATAGTTGCATGTAGTTATTTTCAGTACTGTAAACATATTGTTTTGAAAATTAAAAAAGAAAAATTAAAAAAAATTTAAAAAAAAATTAAAAAATTAAAAAAAATAAATATATGTATATATTTAACAAACATGTTAAAAAAAAGATAATAATAGTAAATAAATCAGCGAAAATGATAAATGCAGGACCATATATGCTGATGCAGTTTGGTCGAAAATTGCATATAAGGGCAATATAGTACTTTCGCTTCTCCAGAGGGGTACGTCAAAGGATGATTTGGGCTTGGGTTTATCCCTAGTTTATTTGGTGGCTAGGGGGGTATGTAAAATAACCCCTAATATTATTGTGGTTGACAGTAAAATTAGTGTAAACACAATAACATTAGTGTCGCTACAGTAATATCAATAATATTATTGTCAACCACAACAATATTATTTTTTTTTTGTTTTTTATTATGTTTGCATTTATTTACTGATCAACATAATAATATTATTTTATTACACAATATTTATTCTGTAACATAGTGACTTTGTTTTGTTAATATATTGCGTTAGATAGTAATATAGCAATATGACTGTGTTAAATAGTAATATAGTTAACATTACTGTTAACCACAGTAATATTATTGTTTTCTATAGGGGCAAAAAAATATTCAGGAAAAGAATATTTAAAAAAAAAGGTACATAAAAAAAAAATAAAAAATAAAGTCAACGCCGCTAGGCTTTGTGTGGACTTGGAGCATATTTAAGGTTAAATTGAGATTAAAGGGATAAAATTATCTGACTTTATCAATTTTTTTTTTGGTAAAAAATCTTTTGGTCTGTTCCTCTTTATGAATAAGTAGCCCATGATGAACTTATTTATAATAGCCCCTCTAAGAAACAATGGACAAAGTGAAGAAACTGATGCATGAAAAGAATTTTGTAGACTTATAATATAATATTTTATTTACTTAGAATGTTTTTTACAACATGCCGTGGAAATATGTCCATATTGGAGATATTCTGATGCTAAATTGGTTTATAGATGCAGATAATAGCAAGCAAATATCATTTCAAAAATTTGATCAATCAAAAAACTTCACTAGAAACTAGTAATTGTCTTCTTGAAGCATTTTTTGTAATGAGCTATTTTTTTCTATTCTTTCTCGTGAACAAGGAACTAGTACTTTTGCAGTAGATGACCAATACTATTGGTTTTCTCTACTCGCATGTTTATGTTGAATAAATTGTACAATTTTTTTGTACCACACGTACCGTTATACTAGTGCATTTTGGTGTGCCACAAGTGCTATTAGTTTCAACGCTGATCGACTCCCAAGTTGTTTCATTTCATGCGGTTAGTCATAAAAAGAAGAAATATGTCATAAAATTAGTTTATATGGTTGCACTAACTCTATTATAATATCTAGCATATAAGTGTACCATATTAATAGACAACATCTACTTAATCATTGAAAGAGAAAGAAAGATACTCTATGAATGGACAGCATGCATTCACCAATGTATTGTATGTACTTTTCTGTAGAATAAACCATACTATAATTGTGATGAATTGAACTATATCAATTTAAGTCCACTATAATTGTGATGAATTGAAGTACTCCAATTGTCTAGACACTTTATTGATCAACGAGTGTGGAGGAACATAACATATGTTTTAAATGACTATTTTAAGCTCTAAAAGAAAAATGAATTTTAGTGACAACACAAGTTGTCACATTAGATCATAAAATCGTCACAAATGAATTTTAGTGTCAATATAATGTTGTCACTAATTCTGTTTCGCTAATGCTCATTGGTGATAACTTACAAAATATTGTCACTTTAGATTTTAGTTAAAGTGACAACATTCATGTTGTCACTTAAGCAAGAAGAGTGACAACTTGAATGTTGTCACTAGTAAAATGAATCTAGAGTGACAATTTGAATATTATCACTAGTTAAATGAATCTAGAGTGACAACTTGAATGTAGTCACTCATTCACTACAATTTGTGAAGCATATATGTATACATTTATGTTTTCCTAGAACACCAAACAATAAAAGGAATCCAATATTATAAATATAGAGACACTATTTGAATCAAAATTTCCTCGACAAATCAAGACATATAAAAACAAATAAAAAAAATTTAACATTTACCAAAGTTTTTTTCCTTCGAATATAATTTGTAGAAAAAAAGTACATACATGGTAATTTGTATGGTCACCAGTAAACCTAACTATAATCCAACAAGAACTCCGTAAAATGCGTGACAATACAATCGATAGCATTTCTTTATGTTCCCTGTTTTTTTTATCAATTGAACCTATTATTTGCAAATTATATTCGCTCGAATATATAATAAATGTACTATTTAAAGAAGATTAATAAAAATAATAAAAATAAGAGCACTTTTTGGGTGTTATGTATTGTACTAACCGTCACACAATAGTTGTTCCATGGCTTGTAACTCGAGTTTGAGCTCATTGCTCTTGTTACTCAGCCTTGATGTATCTCTCTGTAAGAGAATAATGATCCAAAAATTGAAATAAAAAAAATATTTGTTTATATGTTACAAAAGATGTAGTAGTGTAAAATTTCATAACAAAACACAACAAAAAACATCCCACGACTTTTCAAATTGAAAAAGAAGTATATCAATCAATAACAAAATACATAAAATACCATCGACTTAAATCAACTCTGTGAAAAAAATAATATAACATGCTCATTTGTAGACAAACCAGGTACAAATATGTAACTAACTCAGAGGATACTACTGCAAATATGTGATTAACTAGCTAACACCATCACCACTCAAAGGATACTACTGCTTTAACCATAAGTAGCGGGGTGGGCTGATTTCTCAAAGATACAAGACATGCAATGCAAGGTCTTAGACAATTAAATTAGAGAGAAATTATTTTCTTACCCCTTCGGCATATGTCCTGTGTTGGTAAGTACAGTAAGAGTTGATTCAAGCAAGTCCCAAAGTGATATTTTTGGGTCCTATCCTTCGAAATATGCAATTAAAGAAAAAAATGTCCTAGGTTTTGCTTCCATGATGTTTTTTCTTTACCAAATTGTCGGTTGATTATTGTCATGTCTATTATTATCGCTATATCCTTCACAACAGATATCTTTGAAGCTGGCTCTCCACTAACCTTCGTGTAAACCTCTCAAGTGTGCAATAAAAAGTGGAACTTGAGAACTTAGATTCTTTTGGGGAAAAAGAAACAATAAAAGGTATATGAAAGAGTTAATACTAACAAAGAAAGTTTCAAATACTCAAATTATATGAACATTAGCTCTTCAGGATTTTCTTGGGAAAAACCATACTACTTAGCCAAACTTCTACATATTAAATTATTAATATCACACACAAATATTAGGAAGAGACAAGGTAAAAGCATACAATCAGCAAAAGAACAATTTCGATGGCATACTTAACATAAACAAAGGTTCTCTGAGATTCGCCACCATCCACAAGGTTCAGTGGTTCTGGGCAAAAAAGACAGAGCAAATGGAAATGAGACAACCTCAAATAATAATACGAGGCAATCCAATCGAGCTAAAATGATCTTACATTGCTCAAGTGGGATGCAAACATGAAAAAAATAGCAAAAACAAGCCCTTGTGCTTAGAATTGATGGAAATTGCGGTGGTGAATATATCTACAGAATTAGACCCAGTAAAACAAGATTGACACTTTGAGTATTGGAGTGGTAAATATATCAAATAAAGAATTACCCAAGATATGCATATGTACCTATAATTCTTGAACTTGCTTTAATTACTCAGCTTGCAGTCTGCCAATGGTGCTCAAAAACTCGCCGGCAAAAGATGTTATATGCTCGTTATGTGCTTCTACAAGAGTCTTTTTTTCTAGAAAATAATAATAATTGAAGTATCATTAATGACAATTAACATTTTATCCCTAAAAAAATTGTGCTATTGATGACAACAAATAAGTTGATATTATCACTAAAGAAAAGATACCATTAATGACAACTTGAATATTGTCACTAAAAAAAGTATCATTAGTGATAAGAATCGTGTTGTCACTAAAAAAAAATACCATGAGTGATAAAATATATATTGTGTCACTTAATATTGTAATTTAGTGATGAAATTCACCTTGTCACATATTTTATTATCACTAATTAATACGTACTTTTTTTGTAGTGTAATAAAATATCTACAAATAATGATTTATTTATTTATTTTTGGTTCAGAACATTGATTGATAATTATGATATTCATGCAGTGGCAATATTGGGAAAAATAGGAATACTTTGCTCATATCTAAAAAAATCATCAGGATCGGCCTTGGACTTAATCTGCACCAATCTGTGGAAATTATTCTTGTAATATTTGAAACCATAAGTAGCTGCTGCTTCATAGTAACTATTGGGGCCGTGATTATTGATTCCCAAATCAATATCCCTATAACCAAGATATGCTTCCCTGGATTTCGACACAAAAGGAGTGATACATTCATAAAACTTTCTGGTAATATTCATGTAATAATCATCATCCTGAGCTCCTTCTGTCTGGTTCCAATTTGTCGCGATTTCGATCAGGGCTATATTGCCAGCTCGGTGCGGGAAAGGTTTAGCAGAAGATGAAACTTTATTCATGATTCCACCAAATGGGAAGAATTTTAGAACCGGAGTTTCCGGTTCCTTCATTTTGTTGAATATGATTTCCAATCCCTTTTTGGAAATGGGATTTTTTAAGAAATCGGATTTTCTCTTTAATCGAGCCTGCCCCGGGTGGATTCTGCTAAGCAGAATACTCGTCGGGGTTCCCGCCGGAAAAGCCGTCCACCGGACCATTGACTCAACCCAGCTGACGTCAGCGCAGTTGGGTTTAGTTAATCCCAGTTCGGGGAGTTTTTCATTCATTAGGTCGACGAGACTTTCTGAGTTACCAAGAAATAGGATGAGGAATGTGCCGTTTACCGCTTTGGTACGACCAACTTTGACGACGTTGAATGCTAGTTTGATGAATATTTCGTCGTTCAGTTTGTCGGCAATTTGGAGATATTTGTAGACGGTGTCTGTGAAATTATTACTATTACTATTACTATTACTATTTCCGTGCTGACCGTCAGTAATCTGAATTACTGCGAAAGACACAGTCGCTGGAACCCTAACGAGCCGGATTTTGTACGCGAGAACAACTCCGAAGCTGGCGGCCCCGCCGCCCGTTACTGCCCAGAATAGATCCTCGCCCATTGATTTCCGATCGAGAAGTCGTCCGCTGGCGTCGACGAGTGTTGCGTCGACGACATTGTCGGAGGCGAGGCCGTATTTCCTGACCATGTTGCCGAATCCGCCGGCGGTGATGTGGCCACCGACGCCGACCGAAGGGCAGGTTCCGCCAGGGAAGGCGTGAGTGCTGCTCTTCTCGGAGATTCTGTAGTAGAGTTCGCCCAGGGTGGCGCCGGTTTCCACCCAGGCGGTTTCTTCCTCGATGCTGACGTGGATTGCCCGGAGGTTGAACATGTCGAGGATGAAGAAGGGTTTGCCGGATACGTACGAGAAGCCCTCGAAATCATGGCCCCCGCTTCGGATTCTCATTTCCAGGCCATGGGATTTGGCGCAGATGATGGACGCTTGGATGTGGGACACGTGTGCGGCTGCGACGATGAATTGTGGCTTCGGTGTTGTGGGCCCACTGAAGAGTAGGTTTCGGATGTACGACTGTAGAACGTCGGAGTACGATGAGTTGGTCGGGAAATATAATGCTTGGGATATTGGTTGAGATGGATCGGAATTGGAATTAAGGCATTGAAGTAAGTTTACACCACCATTTGTTGAAACAGAATTACTAGCAAATGAAATTGCTGCCAAAAGTATGATCGGTAACAAGTATGTGTATTTCATTTTCTTTTTCTCTATAGTTACGTATCTGAATATGATCCAGATTTACATATAATATAGAACAATTATTTATGAATCAATTAGCAAATATATTTTCGACCGTTAAATTCTTATCTGCCCATTAAATATTGTGACAGGACCAGTAGAGGGAACAACCAGATTGCAGACACATCAATAGTTATTACCAAATGCCCTTTAATTAGTGTTATCTTCGCAAATTTTAGGTCAATTATATGCTCTAGTGGGTAAGTAGTAGTTCCCTAAAACTCCTTCAATTTATGGGAATTTTCAAAGTAGTCCCCACAGTTAGGACTCATTTAGAGCATGTGTAGTACTCACCCCCAAAAAATACTTCATAAACAACGGCGTCCACATGCCATATTTAGTACTCCCTAAAAGTAAATACATATTTATACTTCATAAAAATTTGTCGACATATCTTAAACAATAATAATATGGGTCCATTTGATATACACCCTTAATATGAAAAATATATAGGGATAGGTCCACCCCTAAAATTCTTTCTTTGAGATAACCCCCTGGAGAGGCAAAAGTACTATTGTGCCCTTATATCTAATTTTTCTTCAACTGCATTCAGCATTTTTGCTAACTGCATTCAACATTATGGTTAACTGCAATTAACATTCAGACCTGCATTTATCACATTGTCAGATTTTTTTAATAAAAAATTATAAATGTTTATTTTATTATTATTTTTATATATACCTCTGTTGTATTTTTTATTTTTTTATTTTTTTTATTTTTTTAATTTTTTAAAATTGCTTAATTTTTTGTAATTTTTAATTTTAATATTTTTTTAAAAAAATTTAATTTTAATATTTTTTTAAAAATTTTAAATTTTTAAATTTTAAATTTTTAATTTTGTTTCAATTTTTTGATAAATTTACTGTATTGAAATTGAGTAGACATGACTCTTGTATATATATTACATATGATTATATAAAAAAAACTTCATCTACACCAAAAGTAAAAATTCACAATTTAATCTTGATATTATAAATCAATTAATACCCAACAAAAAATTGGAAAAACACAATCATCAACATCACTGTACATCAGAAAAAACACATAACTTATATAGCTTATATATAACAATATATTACTACGAGTTACTACACGTGACTATATATGACTACACATGACTATATATGACTACATGTATATGACTACACATGACTATATATGACTGCACATGACTATATATGACTACATGTATATGACTACACGTGACTATATATGACTACATGTATACGACTATATGTGACTATATATGACTACATATGACTACATGTATATGACCATATGTGACTATATATAACTACATATGACTACATGTATATGACCATATGTGACTATATATAACTACATATGACTACATGTATATGACCATATGTGACTATATATACCTACATATGACTAACTATAGTCGTATATAGTGTAATTTGGATTTATATCTTCAAATCCCACATTTCAACCCGACAACAGCTCCGATCTATCGAATGCAAAAGAGTTGTTTCGAATTGAAGAACACCATGTCCTCTCGGCAAAAACTTGGTGCATATAAGTTGTGCAAACACCAAACCCGTGACAGAAAATCAAGTTCAATTTAAATATTTACATTATAAATCAACTCACAACCAACAAATGCAGAGGAAATACACAATCGTGTGCATATGTTACTACACGTCACTATATATTACTATATCTTACTACATGTGACTACATGTGACTATATATGACTATAATTATCTATAGTTAAATCTTCATATATATTCAAAATATACGGAACCATACACGAGGTGTCTAGCATTAGTTGTTATTCGACTCTAATTTATATCAGAAATTTTCAGTCGTCAATCCATCAAAATTGAACCTCTTTATGAGATTAAAAGCTCTTACTCAATTTGTCCTTATCTTCATAATCATAAACCTATAAATAATAACATTTTTATAAAAAGTAAAATAGCTCAACATACTTCCTTCGTTGCTGCCATTTGAATCAAAAACCACATTAAATCAATTCTCAATTCCCAAAGAGAAGAAAAAAAAAGTTGAAAAAGGGAAAACCAAACGGTGGCAAAAATGAAGAAAATACGAACAAATAAAATGAAAAAATTAACCAAGAGAAAATTTGGGCAAAACCACCCAATCATCCAATCCATAACTGGATTAATATTAAAATGACCAAATCCCAAATATTTAATTCGTATAATAATGAATTGTAGGAAAATTGTATTTTTAGAAAAAAAAAAAATAGAATGAAAAAAGTGAAATAGGAATACCAGTACAACACGGTCGGCCGAATCAATGAAAAATGCAATGCAAACCATCAGAGTTCTTCGAGCCAGAAGCCACCAAAACTACGTCGGAGAAACACGGTGTGTTAGATCTGGTGATGCAATTAGGGCCAGCAAATCCAGTCTCGAGCACTCGCGACGATTTGATGGTGGCGTGGGCGTCGACGACGGTGGTGGAAGGCGGAGGAAGACAACGCCGATGGTGGAAGAAGATAGGGAGCGGAGCGGCGGTAGGAAAAGCGAAGAGGAAGACGAAGAGAGAAGAGAGGGTCTAGGGTTTGCCCGGGGGAAGGGAATTGGAGAGAAAACGACAAACGATGAGTTGCAACGTTATGATTTAATAATTAATTCTTCAAGGGTAATTTTGGTACTTCAAGTTGTCCAGGGGGGTCTACCAAATTAAGATAAAAAACTTGGGTTTTGATCAAAAGAGTGAAAAAAGGCAGGGATCTCCTCTAATATATTTTCAAAACTAGGGGGTTATCCCAAATTTCCCCTAATAATATATTCAAAAATTAAATATCTAATATTTGAATTAAGTTTTGAATGTTGTATTTAATTACATATGAATGAATACTTGAATTAATTTTTAAATACAATATTTAATTAATATTCATTGTGACATTTCTATTAATAAATATGAAAATTTATTTTCACATTTATTCATCTTGAGAAAAAAAAATGTAACATCTCTTTTAATATTAGATTTAAAATTAAGAACATTTAAGAAAAAAAACAAAATAATTGTTTCATGTATTATATTTTATATTGTAATTGAATTTATTGAAACTAAATAATAAAATAGAATTAAACATTACTTGACAAAAAAAATAATAGAATCATGGCCGGAAAATCTATTACTATTAATACCAATGAAATTTAATATTGTAATCTCTAAAAATATATAATATAATCAAATAATAAGTAGAATTAAACATTATTACTTAACAAAAAATAAAATAAAAATATAAAGAGCAATACAAAAAACGACCCACAATTCAATGCAGGAATATTAAAATATTGAACATGGCCCCAATTACCTCCCCAAACATTTCTTAACTATGGGGAGTAAAATAAGGACTCCCTACTTAGGTGGCCTTTTTAGAAGTAAACAATAAAGGACAAATGACAAATAGGTACAAGGACAATTAATTAAAAAAGGAACATCCAATTTTTTGTCTTTCAAATAAATTTTGTTTATTCAAACTTATTTACAAATAAGAAAAATCCTTTTATATATACCAAAATTACCCCCAATTCATTGAAACCTACTTCAACTCCAATTTCATGATTTACACCAATTTAGACCAATTTCATCAATTAACCAATTTTAACCATAATTTCAATTTTGACCCCAATTTTGACCTGCCACCACTGGAGACCACCGGCCGCCGCCGTTGACTGGCGTAGACCGTCGGTCTCCAGCGTTGACCTTTTTTTTTTTTTTTTAATAATTTTTTTTTTTCTTATTTTTTTTTAATTAATAATACTGTCTTGACTTCTAAATTACTGTCTCCGGCAGTTATTTAACTATCGGAGACAGTAATTTAACTATTAATTGATTTTTTTTTCCTTCAAAAATATTTTAATTAATATTACTGTATTCGTTGCTAATTTACTGTCCCCAGCAGTTATTTAAATGTCGGAGACAGTAATTTAACTGTTAATTGACTTTTTTATTCTTAAAAAAAATATTTTTAATTAATATTACTGTATTCGTTGCTAAATTACTGTCTCCAGGAGTTATTTAACTGTCGGAGACAGTAATTTAACTGTTAATTGACTTTTTTATTCTTAAAAAAATATTTTTAATTAATATTACTGTATTCGTTGCTAAATTACTGTCTCCAACAGTTATTTAACTGTCGGAGACAGTAATTTAACTATTAATTGACTTTGTTTTTTTCTTAAAAAAAATTATTTTAATTAATACTACTGTCTTGGCTGCTAAATTACTGTCTCCAACAGTAACTTAACTGTCTTAGACAATAATATTAATAATATTAATGTTCGGGAAAATAATATTCATAATATATTGTCGCAAACAGTAATATTACTGTCTGAGACAGTAATTTAGTAGCCAAGACAGTAATATTAATTAAAATATTTTTTTTCTAAGAAAAAAAATTCAAAAAAAAAAAAAAAAGTCAACGTCGGAGACTGGCGGTCAACGGTGGTTGACCTGCCGGAAAAAAAATTCAGGAAAAAAAAAAGTTTTCAAAAAAAAAAAAAAACAAAAAGTCAACGCCGGAATCTGGCCGGAAAAAAAAAATTCAGAAAAAAAATTATTTTCTAAAAAAAAATTAAAATTTGGGGGTCAATGTGTAATATTAACGAAGTTAGAGCATAATGGATGGAATTGATAAGAATTATATTATGGAGAGTATGTTAGACTAAAAACATGGGGATGAGTTTAATTTAGAGAATGTCTTTTTTTTTGACCAAAATACATTTAAGTCCCATGTGATGGGTCTTTTTGCCATTAACCCAACAATAAAAAAAGTCATTCAAAAGTAATTGGCATTTACGGATATAATATAATTAAAAAAACGTTTTGTTTAAAGAAGAGTGAGATAAAAAAAATTCATGAAATATATAATAATATAATAATGATGGAGTCCCACCAATCTCCATCTCTCTCCTCCCTAAACGCGTCCTAACTGATGGACTGATTTGAGAATCCTCTAAAATTGGATGAGTTTTAAGGAGTTACTAATCACCCATTAGAGCATAAAATTTCCCTAAGATTTGATGAGTTTGACATTAACGGAAATTGGGAGCTCCACTACAAATGCTCTTA